CTCACTCACCAAACTGCCCAGGCTGGGCTCAAACCTGCCATCTCCTGCCTCAGCCCTCCGTGTGCTGTGATTACAGGCTCATGCCGCCACGCCTGGGCTCTGGCCTGCCCTGAGCCTCTCCTGGAGCCATCCACACACTACAGCACCCCTGGCACATGCGTGTGTGCACACGCACGCTCACACACCCCTCACAGCGCTCTCACACTGCACACTCCTCTACTTAGTCACTGCCTGTCCCTTGCTGTCATCTGGGGCTCAGCCAGCTTTGTCCATAGCTGCGACCCACTGCCACCCATGGATCACAGAGGATCGCTGTGAGCTCAAGGCCAGCCTGCACCCTGTCTCAAAAAGATACGGGATGGGGATATAGTTCAACGGCATAAGTGCCTGCCTGGCAAGCGCAAGGTCCCAAGTTCGATCCCCAGTACCACAAACACACAAAAAGACAAATATAAAACTTACGGGAGACCCTGTCTCAAAATTGGGGAAGGTACTGGGCACAGTGGCGCAGACCTGTAATTGCAGCACTTGGGAGGCCAAAGCAGGGGGATCACCTCAAGTTCAAGGCCAGCTTGGGCTGCACAGTGAGACCCTCTCTCCCCCCAAATAATAAACAGAAGCCTGCGTCTGCACCAGCGCCGTGGTCAGGGCACAGAGCGTGTCCAGTGCAAATGAGGCAGGGGTTCGAGCTGCTTCTAGAGCAGCGCTCTGGCTTCGGGGAGGGCCAGACCAGCTGCTGTGGCCCTGGGCAGAGCAGCGGACCCTGCCAGGTGGGAGCAGTCAGACGCGGCCTGCTGGCAGCTTTCCGCCCCGCCTCCTGCCTCATAGGCTTCTGGCACCCATGCTGTCTTGCTGGATTTCTTTTGGATCTTGCAGGCCAGCCCAGCGCAGTGGCCTGGGCTTGTGGTCCCCTGGCTGGGTGCCCATGCGGCCTGCGTCCAACAGCTGTTCCTCGCTAAGCTGCTTCCCCGAAGGAGAATCGGATTAACCTGGTGGTGGGGTCAGGGACTGACATCAGCTGGGTTCATTCGCAGGCGATGCTGACAGGGTCGCTGTCATAAAAGTGAAACCAGCACCGAAATCAGAAGCCTCAAGCAGGCTCAGGGGAAGCCCCTCTGCGGACTGTCCCATCCCTGTACCCTGGGCACGTGGGCCTGGAGAGCTTGGCTTCACCTAGGGCCCATCGATCTCAGCCCAGTGTGACGGCGCACCCTGTGATCACCACGCTCAGGAGGCTGAGGCAGGAGAATACCCATCCCAGGGCCAGCCTGGGATGCACAGGCTTGAAAAGCTAAACCAAAGCAAATCAGACAGCACAGCCATCCCAAGCTGTGCACCGGGGAAGCAGCGCGGCCCAGGGCAGAGTCTGCAGCAAGGCCGGGCGCGGCCAGGCGGGCTGATGGTATGTCTTTATCCTTTGGTACCACGGAGGACTGAACGTGGACCTTGCACTTGCCACCTATACCGCTGGAGCTATAGCCCCGGCCTCGATGGTTTGTTTTACATCACACACGTGCACACACACGCGCACACACATGCATGCTCGCTTGTTCTAGGAAACTGCTTCAGATGAGAATTATACTTTGGGAAAATCCTGCGCAGCTTGCAGTCACTGCCTAATTCCCAAGCAATTTCCCAGTGGTCCTGGGACTCCAGTGTGGCTGTCGGGTGTCCTCCTTGGAGGGCAGGCAGAATCCCGTGCCAGAGATGGCGCTGCTTGTGGGGCGTCCAGCTCTGGGCCTGTCCTCAGCCCGCTGTGGGGGTGGGGAGAGCGGCTGCACCTCGAAGGCTGCCATTGGGTTTGGGCCCTGCCTCCTGTGCCTGGCCCCAGGTCCCCAACTCAGCCAGGGGGCAAGGATGGCTAGGGCCCCTGCCTGATGTTTGGCTAAAGCCAAGGGCTCCAGTGTCCACTGTGTGGCTCTGTGGCAAGGGGCACAAGCTGTCACCGAGGACTCACCTCCTGAACGGAGTGGCTACACTGCGCCCAGAGCGGCCACCAAGTGGAGGACACCGGCCCAGGCTGGCCTGTGTGACGTCACAGGGAGCCCCTGGCAACCAATGTGCAGCCGCCACCCTGGTGGCAGCTGGGGCAGGACCGAGTCCACCACACCCTCTCCTGGCCTACGGCCTTGCCAGACACAGCCTTGGGGTGCCCTGTACCCAGGGCTGGGCACACAGCCCCACCTGGCCACAGCCTGCCCTGGCCCAGCCCACTACCCCCACCACACACAGGACCAGAGCTTTCCCACACACCACACACAGGCACAGAGGAATTCCTAGCTCAAGGGCCATGTGCAGGCCCACGCACCCACTTTCCCTCTTCCAGTGGGGATGGGGACCGAGCCCAGGCCCCCACCTGGGACGGTGGCCTGTGACTGGTGTTCTGGGAGGCTGAGGCAGGACAGCAAGTGCCAGCCCAGCCTAGGCAGACAAGCCTGGGACACAGTTCTGAGTCATCCTCCAAATTTCGATGCTCCTACCTCGAGTACACAGAGGACAGCATGCACAGTGCCTGCCTGATCGACCCATTTTAAATTCTGAAGTCTTTTTGGGTTTTTTGCAGAACCAGGAACTGAACTCAGGTCCTTGCGCTGGCCAGGGAAGCGCTTATACCACTGAGCCATCTCCCCAGCCCCTTTTTGTTTTTAATCCAGGATTTAAAAAATAGAGGAGCCCATTTGTGGCTCTAGGATTTGGGTCAGGCCTGGAGGCCTGAGCCAGACCTTGAGCGTCTGCACCTGTCGCCTTTCATAGGTGTCAGGTGTGAACACAGGGCTGGGGGTATGTGCAAGCCCGGGTCTGGTCCCAGGGGTGGGAGGTGGGGGCAGGAGGACCGGGCATGCGTGGTCCTGGAGGCAGTCAGGACAACGCTGACGCAGCCTGCAGCACTGAGCTGCACCGCAGCCCTCTCCATTTTGCCAGGGTTTGAGAGTCATTGAATTGCAAGGCTGGGTTCAAACCTGGGATCCTCCTGCCTCAGCCTCCCACAGCTGGAATTTCAGGTGCGCAGGAGAGCATCCTCAGCACTTCAGGCTCAGGTTTCCAGGGGAGGAAAGACGCTTGGAAATGGTTACGGCTGGTACCGCATGACGGGCCTGCAGCCTAGCACCATCAACACATGAAAAGCCCACTCCAGCGGAGGGCAGCGCTCCATGACAGGGCCCCGCGTGCAGATGCCTAGCAGGGGACAGGAAAGACCTACCTCAGAGCTGGGAAGTGCAAGAAGCCTGGTGCTGTCACACACGAGTACACCCAGAGGCTGAGCACAAGGGCTCCGAGCCCGAGCTGCACGGAGACCCCACACCAAGCAAATACAATACTAGGCACTCAGCTTGTTCTCCGAGCTTCAAACCCGTCTCCCTCCTGCTGGCGCTACCACGCACCGTGCTTGGCACTGAGCCAAACCTGGCTTTTTGTATTTTAAGGGTCTACAGGGTGTTGAGGGTCTTCCTAGATCGGACTCGTAGTGATCCACGTTTACAGCCTCCCAAGAGCTGGGGTTACAGGTGTGCGCCACCACGCTCGGTCTGTTATCCCAGGAGCAGGCCAGCACTGCAGGCCTGGGATGGACCCCCCCCCCCCGCAGGTGCTTTAATCCGCTGAGCTACTTGGCCGGCCCTCAACTCACTTGTGACTCATCTGAACTGTGCCAATGACCAAAGCCAGGCCTTGTGCATACACGAGGATGCAGTCAGCCCTGCCTGAAACTCTGAAGATGACGCATCCACCTGCCCCTTCTGCTGGGCGCATCCTCGCTAAGCCCATCCTCAGCTAAGCCCATCAACGGCAGAAAAAGATTGAGGATTCCATAAGTGGAGGCAGATTAAGGTTCCGTCTTCTGAGGGGTCCTGCCCACCATCTGCTTTCCAGCCCCAGGACCCACAAACCTAGCCCCCCACCTGCAGGACCCAAGGTTTCTTCTTTCTTGCTCAAGAACTACCAGAGGGGGCTGGTGAGATGGCTCAGTGGTCTAAAGCACCTACTTAGAATAAACAAGCTTAGCAAAGCAGAGGGACCGCGGTTCAATCCCCCAGCACCACATGCCAGCCAGCCCCGCCCCCTGGTGGGCTGAGCTGGCCACACACACACACACACACACAAATAAAATTTAAAAAAAAGAACTACCAGAGGCTCTGGCGCCGCAGCGTCCTAGCTCAGCGCAGAGCCAGCATTTGTGCACGAGCCCGGACCCTGGAGAGCAGCCTCCGCGAGAGCTTGACCCTGGACTGCAGGGGAGGGACGAAGGGAGCCGTTAGGCCCAGAAGCAAGGGTCGGACGTTGCCCACCACCCACATCCGCCAGTCACAAGCAAGCTGAGGCCAGCCAGTGCTCCAGTCCCGCCTCTCCTGCCAGCGGGCCCAAAGGTGGAACACACCTGTACTTCTGGCACCCACGAGTTGTCACCAGGCCTTCAGGGACTGCTGCACCTGAAGGCGGCGTTCCGCACCCTGGGAGCACACTCCCAACATTACCCACCCCTAAGTAAGACACTTGCACACTCTGTGTTTTTAAACTCAGCTGTGTTTATTACCTCTTAAAGCAGAATGTGACCTGGGCACGCACTCCCACTCACAGGCCCTGTTCCGAATAATTTTTGAAACAGCTCTGCGGTATCCCTAGAAGTTGTCTCTCCCTTGAAACAGTCCTTTTCTTTGGAAAACAAGCCCGTGCAGCTCTTGGCGTCAAGTTTTCAGTACACCGTACTTCTAGAAGCCTAGGACATGCGGATCTGAAACTACTGGGGAAAGTTTAATAAAAGATCCTATAAGAAAACTCAAGCTATCTTAACAAATATTCCTTTAAACATGAGGGAATCTCAACACTTCAGAGACACAAGATCTGGTCTACTAAGCAATCTGGCTCAGCAGCTCAGAGTTAACAGTTAAGTTACATCTTACCACAAACATCTCAACCTGTTAAAGTAAACCAAGGTGAAGCTCGAGGAAGCACTGCTAGCTCTGCTTTAGTGCCTAAAATATCACAGGATTACTTACAAGTAGAAAGAAATCTTATCTTCCCCTTAAAAGCAGTTATCATGCCACACAGACTGAACAAAAAAATCCTTGAAAATATATATTATCAGAGGGAATGAAGACTAAAGCACTGAGCACGAATTAGTGCTGCTTCGGGCCGAGCTCAGTCGACTTCTTCCATGCGTGACGTGTCGTCATCTCCTTCGAGGGGAGGCATCTCCTCATTAACAGCAGCAGCGGTGTCATCGGCGGTGGGGTCGTCCTCATCAATACCTTATTTGGGAAAGCAAAAGCAGCACGAAGTCTGTGAATTTTTATTCTTTTCTTTTTTGGCCAGCTCAGCCAACCCTGGGGGCAGGGGTGGGCCTGGCGCAGCATGTGGTACCAGGGGCAGGCACTCCCCAGGTCCGTAAATTTAAGAACTAATGCTCTTATCGGTAGACCCCCTTATCTCTAATTGTCCCCCAAGCAGCAATGAGAACCCCACGACTCCGTGGCGCCAGCCAGGTGTGCTCCCGCTGAGCCACCTCCTCTGAAGGACCCCTTCCCAGCTGCCTCGGTTTCCTTCCCGTGAGCTCACCTAGACCCAGCTTGATCATCCTGTAAATCCTGTTCGCGTGGGTCTGCGGGTCTTCCAGGCTGAAGCCAGAGGACAGCAGTGCGGTTTCATACAGCAGGATGACCAGGTCCTTCACAGACTTGTCATTCTTATCAGCCTCGGCCTTCTGCCTCAAGGTCTCAATAATCGAGTGGTCAGGGTTTATCTCCAGGTGCTTCTTTGCTGCCATGTAACCCATCGTGGAGTTGTCTCTTAGGGCTTGGGCTTTCATGATCCTTTCCATGTTCGCTGTCCAGCCATATGTGCTTGTGACAATACAGCATGGGGACGTCACTAATCTGTTTGACACGACCACCTGTAATCAGGAGATATAAAGTGATGAATTGGCCTAGAAAGATCCAGTGCTTAAAAAAAAAAAAAAAAAAGGGAAAGACCCAGTGCTTTCTGCCTCCTCAGGCCTTCAACTTAAGGTAGCAACACAGCTACGAAGGCAACTACCTGCCAACGTAAAATCAACGCTATAATCATCACGGAGGGAATCATGCGCTAGGCCTTGCACGTCAAGATGGCACTAGCGTGGCTAAGTGCCAACACCTTAGACTTGCTCATAATTAGGAAATCATGCACACATACCTTTTCAACCTTTTTCTCCAAGATGTCTTTCATGATCTTGCACAGGTTTTCAAACTTTGTCTTTTTCTCTTCCTGTTTTTTTTTCTCCTCTTCATCTTCTGGAAGTTCCAAGCCCTCTTTGGTAACCGACACTAAAGTTTTCCCCTCAAATTCCTTCAGCTGCTGAACACAGTACTCATCAATGGGCTCGATCATGTAGATCACTTCTAAGCCGTGCTTCCGGAGCCGTTCCACAAAGGCCGAGTTAGCTACCTGGTCCTTGGTTTCACCTGAAATGTGAAGTTACTTGGAGTCCTTGAACAGCGAAAGGCTTTGCCTGCCACTTTGTGTTCTGCTGCCTGGGCCCTCCGATGCTTAGGCATGGGCACCACCTGCTCCACGAGTGTCTCACCTACACCACCCACATACCTCTATGTGGCCTCCACGAAACAAAGCAATGGAGTCTGCAGCAGGGACTGTCCTTTACCTGTGATGTAATAGATGTGCTTCTGGTTCTCCTTCATCCTGGTACAGTAGTCCTTGAGAGAAACCATCTCATCCCCAGAAGCAGATGTGTAGTAGCGTAGCAGTTCTGAAAGCTTCTTCCGATTCTGAGAGTCTTCATGTATGCCAAGCTGAAA